CTGAATCCTTTTGACTGTGGTAGGCAGAAAATACACTTTATTAGTACTGCTCCTCTTGGAATGTATTTTTATTGATGGCATAGCTTGTGTTAGTGTGGTCTTTCCACCTTGCAGCCATGAGCCATTAAATCTTTACTGGGAGAGCAGGTCCTATGGGAGAGAGTGTGGGGTGGGAGCAGAGTCCGCAGCTGTCCCAGCCATGCTCTGTTGTGTGGCCGGTTACTTCCACCTCTAGTTCTGCATCCAGTGGAGCTGATGATAGGAACCGCTCAGGTTTATTGGCTGGTGTACAGGTGTACAAGTGTACAAGTGGCGTGGGCTTGAGTCACCAGGGATTTTGGTAAGGCAGCGCAGCTGCTGCAGCAGAGAACAGGAACCCTCTCGCCACCCCGCACCGTCACCACTGTGCCTGTTCTCCCTTCTGATGGCAGGGACAATATTTATGTATTTTATACAAAGGGGAACTGCTTCAGCTGGAGAGGCTGGGTGGGATCCCTCACACGGTACTCCAGAGTCTAGGGCTTAGGACATCTCACAAGTATACGGGAGACGTGAGCTCGAGTTCCTTGGGCTGAAGAGGGAAGTGGGTACTGAGTAAATTTAGTGAGGAACGGTGCCACGCTCTTGTCTGGCTGTATTTTGTAGATCTGGCTTAACAAGGGAGAAGGGAAAAACAAGTCTCTTGTGATTGCAGCCCTGAGGAGAAGGTCTTGGGTGTGTTAGTGGACTTGAGGCTCAACAGGAGCCGGCAGTGGGCACCTGCAGCCCACAAAAAGTGGATCATGTCCTGGGCTGCCTCCAAAGGAGTGTGGCCAGCAGGGCGAGGGAGGGGATTGTCCCCCTCTGCTCTGCTCTGCTGAGACCCCACCTGGAGTACTGCCTCCATTTCTGGAGCCCATGGTATGAAAAGGGACATGGATCTGTGGGAGCGGGTCCAGAGGAGGCTGGAGAACCTCTGCAGTGAGGACAGGCTGAGGCAGCTGGGGTTATTCAGCTTGGAGAAGAGAAGGCTCCGGGGTGACCTAATAGCAGCCTGCCAGTACATGCAAGGGGCTACAGGAAAGCTGGAGAAGGGCTTTTTACGGGGGCCTGTGGTGATAGGACAAGGGGCAATAGCCCCTTTAATCTAAATAGATTTAGATTAGATATAAAGAATAAATTCTTTACCATGAGTGTGGTGAAGCACTGGCACAGGTTGTCCAAAGAGGTTGTAGATGCTCCATCCCTGGAAGGGTTCAAGGCCAGGTTGGATGGGGCTTGGAGCAATCTGAGCTGGTGGGAGAGAGGTGTCCCTGCCCGTGGCAGGGAGTTTAGAACGAAATGATCTTCAAGGTCCCTTCCAACCTTGACCATTCTATGATTCTAGGATTCCTTGAAGGACCTTGGCATTGGCACTGCACAGCCTACGAATGCAAAAATAGATGAGCTCAACCAAGTGCTGTTGGGGCCAGGAGCTGGCACTGCCACCTCCCACAGCCCACCTCTGCCAGTCTTCTGGCAGACTTAACAATGTAAAGCGCGTCCCTGCATTGATCATTCCATGTCTGAGTGCAGCTCAAACCCATCTCCTGTGCAGGACTTTGCAGTCCAGGGGGACGGGCGGGTTTGCTCTCCCTTCCACCCCATCTGCTAAACCTGGCAACTGATGGGCAGGCCTGGAGACTCCACCAGGGAAGTTCACCAGAGCTCCTGGGCAGAGCTTGGAGGCTGCCCTGGCCACAAACAGCACCAGAAACGGAGGGATAGATGGACAGTCCTTCATGGCACAGTCTAACGGGATTTTATAAATCATAATCAATTGTGTCTACATATCAGATGTGGGCACTTCTCCTTGTGAATTCTGCCAGTGGGATGCATCATCTTTTTCTTTTTTTCCTCCACTACTGGTATATTCGAGTCTGGTGCTACAGCGACAGAGCACCTTTCATTGTAAAGATTCCAGCCCCAAGCCCCAGAACTGTTTGCTGAAGTTGGCAGACTGTCAGAACACTGCGTTTATGATGCAGATTTGAAAAAAAAAAAACAAAACACCTTAAGGTCTCTAATGATCTTAGGAAATTAGGACTTTTTTCATTTTTTTCCCCCTAATAGTGTGTCAAACACAAAGCTCTCCGCTAGTTTCTCTTGCCCCTGCACAGGTTCCTCCTTCCCTGAATGTCTGCGTCTGTGAGGTGCCCTCCTGAGCTGAGGGGTACGTCCTTACCAGAAGTGGTCCCACAGCGGCTGGGAGAGCTGTGCTCAGACACAGACGTTTATTTAAGGCTGTGTTCTGACAGTTACCGCTTTTCATGCCTAGATGAGAGTATGGGAATAGATGCGTGAGATGACCAGTAGGACTTGCCTTGGGTTCTGCCTAATCAGAGGTAGAAGAGGGAACAGAGCAGGGGCCCCTGCCTGCTCCGGGACCTCTCTGGAAGGCAGCGAGGAGTGACGTGTTGCTCCTCAGGTTGGTGCCAGACCTCTGTGGCCAGCGCCCGAGGCGTCACAGCTCTGACCATCCTCACCTCCTGGCTATTGCTGCCTGAATCAGCTACTACCCCTTAGAGATCAGTGGGTTCTCTGCAGGGCGGCAGAGATCGAGGAGAAAGAGGATGGTTACATGTGTCACCCGGCCAACTGCTAGTGCTGCCAGAGCTGCTCCTTAACTCACACCAAACGTGGCTGAAAGTCTGAGTTTAAAGACACTCAGCCCCAGTGCTGCCCAGCACGCGGCAGCCTGTGCAGGTCCAGGGACAAGTTGTGTCTCTCTGTGACTGTTGCCTTCCTTTCCTAACAACTGGAAAGAAATATCAAGGGCATTGCAGGGCATTGCAGAGTTTTCTGAAGAAAGGGAGAGCTTGCTTGAGCTACACCCAACTTCCCCTTTTGCAGAGAAAAACTGCAAGTGGGCAAGTGTGTAAATGAGGAACCATCGCATGGGCACAGGGACACTCAACCCCGAGGGGGCGAGATGGGGGCTCACGCCACTGCTTGCTGCTGGCGAAGATCCAGAAAGTTTTGAGGCAAGAAGGTGCCTTCTCCGGAGTCAGCAGTCTTTGGGGGAAAATGCTCCAGAGTCAGCAGTCTTTGGGGGAAAATGCTCGCTGTCCGTGGGGGTGGCAGAGCTGAGGCAAGCACATCTCAACGTGCAGCACCCAGCAGCCCCAGCATAACTCATACGAGAAGTTTAGGCTTTGTGACCAGTGGTGCTGTTTACTCACTCCCAAGGAAAACCACCACCACATTCTGCAAATTAGGGTAAAAACCCAAGAGGTTTACCCTCGGTGAGCAGCCTGGTGTCCTTGCTGGTGGCTTTACCTGCAGTAGTATCTTCCTGTGAAGGAACAGGGAGAGAAAACCAAGCAGCTCTGCAGGATTGTGTCACGGAGAGGCGAGTGTCTGCCCAGCGTCAGGCAGTGACCTGGTGCTAGAGCCAAGAACAGGCACATGCATCCTCTGGATGGTAAAAGCAAAAAGCAGCAGGTTAAACTATACAAGGGATTAGACTGAATCTCTGAATCTAGCTGAGACAAGAACACGTATGGTACTGAAGGTGCAGGAATTTGTCCAGAAAAAATTTGCACCACAAAGCATCATCCTTTAGGATTAGTGACTCATCTTCTACGTCATTCACTGAGTAAAAAAACAGAGACGTCTGGCAGTCCATGAAAGTGGATATGAGAACCCACAGTGCCTGCAGCTAAGAAAATAAATAAAATCTTTACAAGTATAAGCAGGAAAATGTCAGAAAACAAGTAGAGAGTGACTCTGGAAATGGCTCTAGTGAGACATTTTTACTAGATAGTGTTTCACTTCTGAGATCTCCAGATTAAAATAAATAAATGTAGGCAGGTTAGAAAGCATTAAGAACCACAGGGCGGAGGGGAGAAAGAAATCCCCAAAACCTGCTTGCTTACAGTAAAAATTTAAGAAGCTTGAGAAGGAGCAGAGTAACCGATAATTTTACCCAAGAACCCTCATGCAGGAAAATCTTCTGAGATTAGAGATCAATGATCTAAGATCTGCCCTGCAGCAAACAACGCGGGATGAAAACACAAAGGCTAGTGTAGCGTGGAAATGGGACCAAAGAGAGGACGAAGGGGACGGGGCAGGAGCCAAGGCATGGAGCAGAATTCTGTGGCCACAGACAGCTGAAAATGAAAGGGGGGGTCTGGCTCAGCAGTGTCACCCTACCAACCAGCTCGGTTTATGCTTTATATTTTTAGGTAAGAAGAAAAGCTACAGCAGGAAATTCCATTTCAGACGTGCCCACTCAGCACCATGTCTGGAAAGGGTAAAGGTGGTGCTGAAGGTAGTGCTGATTTCTACAGTTCTTGCCAAATAGACTCTGAGTTTCGCTACAGCCTCTTCACTGTTTTCTACAGCATCATCTTCATTCTGGGCTTTGTTGCCAACTGCTATGTGCTCTGGGTTTTCTGCCGTATATACCCCACCAAGAAACTCAACGAAATCAAGATTTTTATGGTGAACCTGACAGTAGCTGACCTGCTCTTCCTGGTTACGATGCCAATGTGGATTGTTTACTATCACCACCATGGAGACTGGATCATGCCCAACTTCCTCTGTAATGTGGCTGGCTGGTTATTTTTTGTTAACACCTACTCTTCTGTTGCCTTTCTAATGGTCATCACATACAACCGTTACCAAGCTGTGACTAATCCCATCAAGGCTGCCCAGTTCACCACCCAGAGGAGGGGGATCTACTTGTCCGCAGCCATCTGGATCATAATAGTGGGCAGCAGTCTGTATTACCTTTTTGATAATAATACCAATCGGGAGGAGATCGGTTCGAAGAATTTCACGCGGTGCTTTGAGCACTACGACACTTCTAGCAACGTTTCAGCTGTTCTCGCCATTCATGTCATCATCTGCATCCTCTTCTATATCATTTTCCTTTTTATACTAGTCTGGAACATCGTCATTATCAGGACCTTGTTCTCCAAAGCAGCGCAGCAACGCAAGAGTGCTCATGTCAAGCAAAGGGCGCTCTGGATGGTTTGCGCGGTGCTGGCTGTGTTCATCATAAGCTTTGTACCTCATCACATAGTGCACCTGCCCTGGACCCTCACTGTTCTGGAGCAGTGGAAGAAGGAGGACTGCCAGTTGCGCCAACGACTCAACGATGCTCACCAGGTGACCCTGTGCCTCTTGAGTATGAACTGTATGTTGGACCCTGTCATCTACTGCTTCCTCACCAAAAAGTTCCAGAGGCATCTTTCAGAAAACCTGAAAAGCATGAAAGGGAGTCGCAAGTGCTCCAGGCAAACCACAGACACAGTGATCGAGGGAGTCCTTCACCAAGAGGACGCCATCAAGACCTAGTTCAGCCCCTCTCTGACTGCAGACTGGGATGTGTGAGTTAATCACTCATCTTTTCTCAAGAAGAGGTGCTGAGGGACACAACGGAGGACCAGGATATTACATTTCCTTTTTCCCATTAGACAGAGGAATGGACACGCGCTTCTTCTATCACAAGCAACTGGCAGAACTGGAACCTGTAGTGCAGTGTCTGGGCTGATGTTCTCATGGGCGCTGAGAACAGCTCAGATGATCTGCTTTTACATGAAAGAAATGTGTCACTGAGTCTTTGAAGCTAGAAGCTAAGTGCATTATCCATTGTGTCAGCCCAGATAGCACCATCCCTGGTCCTTCGCCTGCCCAGCTCCCACAAGAACTCAGCATCAGAGCTGTAAGAGACTTCTAAAAGACCTGGAGGAACAAGCTGAGCTGCTAGTATCATCAAGTGACTTTTCTAAGCAGCTTGCATAGTTCTGTGAAGAGAGTATGAACTGAAAGAAGCTCTTGAGTGGCTAGAAGGGATGTACTCCAAGGAATTCCTCAAATGCACCTTTTGATCCCTTCTTGTGTAGTCTGCTGGAGCCCATAGCTGACAGATGTCTGGGTGGAGCTATTAGGTACTTCTACCTTTGCTCTTAGCTTTTGAGTTGGTCAAGTAACTGGACTCCTAGGCAAGAAAAGGAAAAGGAATTGGCAGTGCCTCAGCTCCCATCTCCAGATCAGCATTATGTCCAGAGGAGACTATAGTCTGCCCTGGTTTCTTGCATGATGGCAGAACTGGCAAACCAGTGGCCTCTTGCACTCAGTTTAGTAATTTTTGGCTGACCACACATGTCTGTGGAAATCCAGTCTCCCTTTGGAGGCTCCAGATAACAGAAGATTATTGTCAGCATGGGCATTACAATAAGAAGAAAAAAGCTTGAAATGCTTCAGTATCTCTGTTCTTATTTATTTAAATTAGGGTTGTAGTACATTATTCCTTCCCCCAGCCTTTCTCTTTCTGCTACCAAGAAATTAAGCTGACTAGTTCTTGATATCCTACCACAAGAGAAGTCCTATGTCAGCTCATGGCCGCTTTCTGAGTAAATCAGTGCTGCAGAGTGGAACGGTGCCCGTGACAGACAAGTGATTCACACACTCCGATAAAACTGAAGACCCCTCATTCAGGGCTGGTCGCAGTGAGTTGGGGCCCAGGGCAAAGAAGTTTTCCACGAGTGCTGAGTTCTCTTACCCATCATGAGACACTTGAGGTTCCTTTTCTGACTCAAATTGCTCAATCTAGCACAGGAAATTGGGCAGGACAGGGAACTTCCTTGTTTTCACAACAGTTTTTGGTTCCCTGGTTAATGACAGGAAAAGCGTATCTGACCTGTGACACTGATTACTCACATGCAAGGAGAACATCTCCTGCACCCACCAGGGAACCTGAGAGAGAAGCTCAAATCTTTCCAAAGACAGGACCAACATTTGTATCAGCTGTTGCCTATATTCCGTGGAGATACGGGTCCTCCAGACATATCTCCTGAAGATCCTCAGGCAGCTTTTATGCTTATTTATGCGAATAAGCTAAATAACTAAGACGTTTCTTTTTCTAACATCATCTGCAAGGCCAGTGCCGGGAAGGGGAAACAATCTGGTCACAACGTGAATGCGCTTCCCTCCGGGTCCTGGACTCTGCTTCAGTACTGGCCACACATACGGAACAGCTGCCAGCACCTCTTAGCAGGGACAGAAGTCCCCGACTACTTCCCTCAGCCACAGCACAGAGCAAAAGGGGAAATGTCTGTAGTTTAAAACCCTAAATCCTGCTTGCTGGAGGGATCGGCCTCTGTATTTCTGCCCTCCCCAAAGGCACGTTCTGGCTGAGGAGCTCTCGCAGGTGGCAGGTTGTGCAGAGCTCTCCCCTTCCTCTGGGCACCCGCTGCGGGAGCCGAGTCCCCTAAAGGACTGAGCAGGTGGACTCTGGAAACTGTCAGAGGAAACAGAAAGGGGTTTTATGTGGAGATCTGGTAAATGCATGATCTGCATCTAGTGATTCCTGGAAAGCTTGCAGCACAGTTTACAGTTCAGGCTACTTACTGTGGGTAAATAACAGGCTTTACTGCACAGAAAACAGCTCTAAGGCCAGTGTGGGCTCGGAGGACAAATGTAAACTTCCACCTAAAGAAAAGAGTAAGTGGAGAAAAAAGCCCCGAAGACACTTCAGGAGGGTATGTTACAGGAATTAAGTCATTAACAGTGTGTTTCTAAAAACCAGTCTGAGCTTCTACTTCGATTCCTGGAATTACTTTCTTAGTTTTACCGCAATGGCCGCATTACTCTGCTTCCCTTTGTAATTAAATGGATCCTCAAAAGTTCTTTAAATAAAGCCCGTTTTGCCCTCCCACTTCTCCCACCTTCTCATCTTTCTGTATTTATTCTCAAGGGAAAAGCCCCAGTACCATGCTGACACAGCTGGAATTTGCTGTTATTGTTTGAGAAATCACCACGTGAACTCTTTGGAGAGGTGAAATTAAAGGCTCAGCAAGTTTTGGCGTGCGAAACAATTTCGGAAACAACTTCCGTGAAAAATCATAGAATCATAGAATGTGTTGGGGTGG